TAAGATAGTTTATATTATCGGTAAGATGTTAAGTATTCAGAAGTAAAACAAATACTAAGGTATTCCTGGACTAAAATTCATTATATGCAAACTGGGTGTGGTGCATGCCTTTGGTCCTAGCACTCGGAAGACAGGTGGATTTTTGAGTTCTAGGCCAGCCTTGTTTATGGTTTACATAGTGAGTTCTAGGTCAGTCACATATATACACTGAGACCCTGTTTTAAAAAAGTCATTATATACATGTATGAAATTGTTGAGTAAAAACATATCTACATTTTTTTAAATTTCTGTAATGTTTTCATTTAAAAATATTGTATTAGAGACTAAGGAGATGGCTCAGTGCTAAGAGCACATGCTCTGCAAGAACAAGGAGCTAAGTCCAAATCCCCAGCACCCACATAAAAAGCTGGGCCTGGATGCATGTGACCGTGACCCTAACATTAGGGAAGCAGAGACAGGTGGATTCCAAGACCTCACCAGCCAGCCTGGCTAAAACAGTGAGCTTCTAGCTCAGCGACAGACCCTCAGGGTAATAAGAGAAAGTGATGGAGGACAGTGCCTAATATCCTGCTATGGATATGTTTGCGTACTCATGTGCACACGTACCACTCCCCACCACACACACTCTAATCCTCCCAGCACTTGGGGAGGTGGAGACAGAAGGACTGAGAGTTCAAGACTGTGTTCCATTACATAGCAAGTTCAGAACAACCTGTCCCAACAAACAAACATGTTTTCAAAATTTAAATTAAGGCCATGAATGGTGTGCATGCCTTTAATCCCAGCACTTAGGAGGCAGAGGTAGGCAGATCTCTATGAGTTCAAGGCCAGCTTGGTCTACATAGCGAGTTCCAGGGCAGCTGGGGCAACAGGGAGACCCTGTCTCAAATAAGAAAAAAGAAAAGAAAAGAAAAAAGAAAAGATTTAATTAAGGGCCTGGAGAGATGGCTCAGTAGTTTTGGTTCCCAGCAACCACATGGCAGCTAACAACTGTATGTAACTCCACTTCAGGGGATCCAACATCCTCTTCTGGCCTCCATGGGTATTGTACAACATGGGTACACTTGCATACATGCAGGCTAAACATTCATACGCATAAAATAAAAATAAATTTTAAAAATTTTAAAATTAAAATAAATCCTATTACTTAATTGGGCCATATCGATTTAGCCCAGCACCCCCACAACTTTTTTTTTCTTTTGAGACTGAGTTTCACTTGGCAACTCAGGCTGGCCTGGAAGTTACTATGATCCCAAACTGGCCTCAAACTCATAGTTTGATCCTTGTGTCTCAGCATCCTGAGTGCTGGGATAATAGGTGTGTGTGCCAACAAACCTGGCTCCAGGTCTATATGTAATACGTGCTTATTAGTACTTAATAGGCATTATATTACATAGATTTTTATGTCATCTCCAAGACAAAAAAGATGGAAATTTAGTTTCATATTATTTCCACGAACTTTAAAGCATATCAGATTTTTGTTTTTTCTATTTATTTATATGTGTATGCATGTGTGTACATGTATGCATGTGGGTACATGTGCCATAGTGTACATGTGGAGGGCAGAGGACAACCTGTGGGAGTCAGCTCTCTCCTACTTGATAGCAAGCACCTTTACTTGTTGAGCCATCGTGTTGGCCTAACATCAGTTTTATTTCTTTCCATATATTAAGATTTTTAGTTTTTTTTTGTTTTTTGGGTTTTAAAAAAAAACTTTATTTTATATATATGAGTGCTTTGCCTGCATGTATGTAAGTGCACCCATGTCACACAATGCCCATGGAGGCCAGAAGAGGTGTAGGATCCCCTGGAACTGGAAGTTCCAACAGTGGTTAGCCATCCTGTGGGAGCTGGGAACAACCTGAGTCTCCTGCAAGAGCAGCCAGCCCTCTTAACCTCTGAGCCATCTCTCCAGCCCTGTGGCCATGAACTTTTGATTCTCTTCCCTCTGCCTCCCAAGTAACTGGGATTAAAGGTGTACACTACTAGGCCTAGCTAATTTGTATTTTAAAATTAAACATTTTCTAACTTAAAGAGTAATAAATGCATACATATAGGATATAACTAAATTGTATACATTCCATAAAGGTACTATTGTGGGGTGTTTTTTTGTTTTTGTTTTTTTTTTTTTGGTCTTTTTTGAAACAGGGTCTCCTGGTAGCCCCAGCTGTCCTGGATTCACTATGGAGACCAAGCTGGCCTCGAACTCACAAAGATCTACCTGTCTCTGCCTCCCGAGTGCTGGGATTAAAGGCATGTGCCACCATGCCTAGAACAATATTGTGGTTTTATGTTAAATTGAACTAGAATTTTAAGATCTACCATTGAGCTACATTTCTAGCTTATTTCTCCTTTTTGGTAGTTCTAAAACTCAAACCCAGGGCCTTATATGCATGCTAGGTAAGCACTCTACCACTGAGCAACATCCTCTGTCCTTTTAAATATTATTTTTAAAAAATTATTCATACTTATGGTGGCTTAAACCTGTGATCACAATACTCTGGTGGCAGAGGCAGGAGGATCATGCTTTCAAGGCTAGTCTGGGCTACATAGTGAGACTGTTTCAAACAAAAAAAGTCCTTATTTATTATCTCTTTAGTTTTGAGAGTTTGAGGGAAGTTGGCTGGTTTTTGTGGTGCTGGGGTTCAAACCCATAACTTTGCCTGCAATAGGCAAGCATAGTACCATGAACTGTCTCTACTCCTTAGTGTTTAATCTTTCTTTTAAAAAATATTTTATTATTTTTATTTTTTTATGGGTCTGACTGTTATACTTGCATGTAGGTAGGTACACCCGTGTCCTGCAACGCCTGTGGAGGTCAGAAAAGGGCATTGGATTCCCCTGGAACTGGAGTTACTAGATGGTTGTGGTTGCTGGGGAAATTGAACCCAGGTCCTCTGCAAGAGCAGCCAATAATCTTAACTGCTGAGCCATCTCTCTAGACTCTTATTGTCTAATTTTTATACCACCAAAGATTGGAACAAATATACTGAAGTTGCCCCAGTATAAAACTGTGCTTACAAGTATTAATGTTTAGGGCTATTTCTAATATACTTTGATGACATATTCTGAGTTTATTTTTATTACCCAGCTACCTTTTAGAAACTGGTACATTGATTTTCCTAATTATTATTCTATGTACTTGGGATGCTATTTTTATTTTCTATCTCTAAAGAATTGAATAGCACACGACTGTGATGTGCTACTGTGTTATCATATAAATGCTCAAGGTACAGCTTCTAATGGTGAAAAATAGGAAAAAATATCGACCTTGATGAAGTGTGTCTTCTTTTGTCTGTGCCCAGGAAAGTTTATTTCAGGTATTTCTACTGCTGAAATGATTAGCGTTAACAGCTTTCCCCCTCCATTTTATTTTACAGGGTCTCTTCATCTTCCTGATATATGGGGTGTACAACACAAAGGTAAGTCTGCTTAGAGTAGCTCAAGGCTGACAGAGTGAATGAGAGAAATGACAGGTTTCTTATCTTGATAACTGAAGAACAAAGTTGGCTTTTCATATGAGTGTCCTATTGCCCTTCATGCTTGGACTAGCTTATATGCATCTCAGCTTACTATTAAATACTGACACCCTGAATAAAGGGACAGCCTCATTTCTCACCGGCATTGACTAATATTTTACAACTGTCTGAAGTTTTTGAATTTTCAGTCTTTAACATTGAGCTATACTTGGCAGTACGAAAGTTTCAGTTTGCATGCTGGAATACGTCACTGTAGTTGTATGGGGTTAGAAAAGTACCATAGCATCTTATCTCAAATTGCTCATAAAATACTGTCTCTTCAGTTTTTCAGGCTCAGAGAGGCCTAGAGGTGTCAGTAAATAATCTTTATTGTTTCAAATTGTGGAATTTCTTAGAGAAGTTATTATTTAATTACAAGAAGTCATGTAGAGAAATACTATGAGAAAATGGATATGTAATTTCTTTACTACACTATGTAAATGTAAATGAACTGTTAAGGGCCTAGTTCTTTCATTAAAAACTTGTATAAGCATGCTCAGGAAAGCTGCTGGTTTAGAGTTTTGCATGCTCAGTATGAAAGTGAATGCCTTGTGTATGCATTTAGGCACTAAATACTTGACTTTATTGGCAGGATTTTGATTTCAAGATTTTACTTAATTTCCTCCAACAGAAAAATGTACAATTCTGCATGAGTTTCTAGACATTCTATACTGGGGTAGGGTCCTTTCGGAGATCTTAGAAGGGCAGGACGGCCAATATTTCACAAATGAGGCGAGACAACAATCCAACGTGACAAACTCAGACAAACTGAGATGTCTGTGGGCATTTAAATAACATCTGATGATGCAGCATGTGTGTGGGCGTGTTTTACAGGACTGCTGCACCTGGGATTACACGTGGTTTCCCTTTGCAGTAGCCTTCAGGTAGGTTGGCAGTGAGACAACTTTTTACAACGGTACCTCTATTGCGGTTTCAAAGTTGGTTCGTCCTGTAAATGCAAAAACACGCATTATCAGTTTGCCCACTCTGAAAGGGGCAAGAGGGCTTTATAATCAAGTATTCCAAGTTTAATGCTTTTAGACAGAATCAAAGGGGCCTTAAGGAACCCATTTCTACGTTTGATTTTGATCTGTACCTGGACTGCAGAGACCTAAAGTGGAGAGAATCCCAGCGTTCGGTCCTCAGTTTTCCCACCTTCCCCAACCCCTTTCTCTGCAGCTCCCACGCCACGCAGCAATCAGCTCTCCGGGCGTCCCGCGACTTCCCGTCCCTAGGGTTCCACCTCCAGAGCGTCTTTTCCCCCCAGAAACCCTCAGTCACTTTCTGCCCCTCCAGCGCAGCCACCAATCACCGCCGGTTACCGCGGAAGCCCCTCTACAGTCGTGAGTCCAGGTCCCCGCCCCTCCTGCCCCGCCCCGCCCAACTCCGCCCAATCGCCCCAGTGATTGACAGGCCGGCCGGGCGGAAACTGCGGCGCAGGCGCCCTGAGCCCGCAGAGCTCCCCTCTGGTCCGGCCGAGGCGTTCCCAGCAGACACCGCGCCGCGGCTGCGCAGTACCAGGGAGGCTTTTAATTCCATTGTGGAGAGGACGGCGTTATTTTTATTAACTGGAGGCGACGGCGGCTGCGGCGGCGGCGGAACCCGTAAGTGTGGCCGGCGGGGCCGGGAGGCGGCGGGGCCGGCCGGGGAGGCGACGGGGCCGAGCGCGCAGGCCCGGAGGCGGCGGGGCT